TTGTTGCTATAAATGAACATTTTCCCGTCATTGCTGGAATTTTCAGGCTTCCCGGTTCAGGTGATTAAAAATTGGCTAATTCGTACTACTTAATACGACCTCACTCGTACGAATTTGTATGATTTGTCTAAACCCACGTGATGGGTCATTTATACAAATTCATAGTTGGCCAACTCGTAAAATATGTACGATTTAGCAAAAATCGCACTAATTCGTACAAGTGAGGTCGTACGAATTGTTACAAATTAGCCACCTCGTAAAATTTGTACGAATTGTCGTGAGATGGGGTTGGGTTTTCAGTGTCATACGGTAGGGGGCGCTATTACACATCAACAAAACAAGTAAAGAAGAAGCAGAAACAAGCGATAGACGCCCAAGTAAAATAACACAATCATTAAACATTCAACAGCATATGAATCAAAACTGACGAACGTCACTGAGTGAAATCTTGAACCCATGAAGAGCAAACGACTGTGACGGTAACGACTCCCTCATACTTCTGAATCCCATCCATACGAAGTCTTTGACAACAAATGCAAATGTTCAAAATGTTGCTTTTTTTAATGAAACTTCCCCCCATTGAAGTCTTGATAAAAGTTTTGTTTGTGTAAAAACATTTTCAGATATAAAATATTCTGGGGGACAAAATGTGAAAATTGGCGCCGGCGGGGAAAGAAATAATGTCAAACGATTAATCGCATCCAAAATAAAAGTTTGTTTTTACATAATACATGTGGGTGCACTGTGTATAATTATTTTATATATATAAATACACACACATGCATGTATATATTTAAGAAATATTTTCATGTATATAGATTTTTATATAACTTATATTTTATATATAAATATTTTTTTCTTAAATATACATGCATGTGTGTGTATTTATATATATACAAAATAATTATACACAGTGCACCCACATATATTATGTAAACACAAACTTTTATTTTGAATGCGATTAATCGAATATCTATAGTTTGGTTCAGTGATGTTAACTAATATTTCTGACTTAATTGAGATGTTTTCCAGTGTTGCACTGCTCATGCCAGCGTGGCTCAATAAGGTTTGAGTTAGAATAGTAACTCGAGTCCTTCTCGACATCTTCAAACCTGCGCAGTTAATGCAGACGAGGAAGATTGCACAGCCGTTGTGGAATGATGAATGGGAACAGTTTTCCTAAGAAAACGACCCCAGCTTTGCCGATTCTCCAGGATATAGCCAGCCGGGCTCCACTAAAGCTCCATGACATCGGGTCAGCTTCGTTCCGTGACGTTGAGACCACCTCAAAATGTTCTCCCACCCGAACCAAAGCAAACCTGTTCTTCCTCAGTCTCACCAGATAGACTGGCTGGTAATGGCCATGGATAAAGCTTTCCATTAACAGCTCATTTGCAAGTTCCAGCACTTATGAAAGTCTTGAAAGTCCATCAGTTATCACTCCTTGCATATCTCGCCAGCTTGTCAGAGCGCTTGCACCCCAGACAGGGCCATCTGGCCTTAATAGACTTCCAACGCTTCCTAAAAGCGTGCCCACCTGCCTCTCCACGGCTCTAATGGTCCTCTAATCTAGATGGAGACCCGTGACTTATCTTGAGTCCCACACAGGAGCATGAATAAGAAGATACGGCTCTCCCGGGGCAATGAAACAAGGGTTTAAAACGGATCCTGCCATCAGAAGCTCTGGACCTCGTGACCGTGTTTACGAGCCATCCGCGTCCGACAGCTTCTCACGTTCCCGCCTGTGATTAATGTAATTCAGTGTTTCACAGTTTAGCACGGGCTTCATATAGCTTGCCCACTGCGAGTGTTAATGACACGGTGGTAAACGACACCTCAAACGCTACTGTGGAGGGAACGGGATACCGTAATGGGATTGGGAACAGAGAACCAATACTTATTCAGTTTTATGCTGTGATGCTACTGTATGTGCAAACTTAAAGGATTAGTTCACTTTTGAAAAAAACTTTTGCTGATAATTTACTCGCCCTCATGTCATCCAAGATGTCCATGTCTTTCTTTCTTCAGTCGAAAAGAAATGAACGTTTTTGATGAAAACATTCCAGGATTTTCTCCATATAATGGACTTCAATGGGAACCAAACGGTTCAAGGTCCAAAAGACAGTCTCAGTGCAAACTGTTCAAAGGGCTTTAAACGATTCCAGATGATGAATAAGGGTCTTATCAAGCGAAACGATCTCTCATTTAATAAATAAATAACAAAGATTAAGTTTTATAAGCTTAAATGCTCGCCTTGCTCTGTTCTGTGATGCGCGTTCGTGACTCTCCTGTTCGAACTCGTTCATCAAAATGAACGAATCTTTTTTTGAGTCATGACTCGAAGGGTCCTACATAAGACCCTTATTCATCGTCTGGAATCGTTTAAAGCCCTTTGAACAGTTTGCACTGAAACTCTCATTTAGATCTTGAACTCTTTAATTTATCAAATGCTGCCTTGATGTGGATGAAATCATATCTCAGTAATAGAAGTCAATGCACACGAGTGGGTGATAAATGCTCTTTATTTGCTAGTTGTCCTACGGGGGTTCCTCAGGGGTCAATTTTAGGACCGATTTTATTTAGTATTTATATTAATGATCTGCCTCAAGCATGTCCAGGTATAGATGTTATAATGTATGCAGATGATACTGTGCTTTTTACTCATGCAGGAACTAAAGAACTAGTCGCAAAAAAACTTTCATCTGCAATGGTGGAAGTCTCAAAATGGTTAAATGAGTCTTGTTTGTCTCTTAACATAAGTAAAACTGTATGCACGTATTTCACTGCGCGAAAACAAAACTCTGTGAATCCAGATATCATATTAAATGGTGAAGCAATTAAATTTGTGACGCATGTTAAATATTTAGGAATAATAATAGATCAACACCTGTCATTTAAAAAGCAAGTAAAAAGGGTTATAAATAATGTTAAATTCAATTTGAATAATTTTAAAAGCATCAGGCACCAGCTCTCTGAATCAGCTGCACTTCTTTTAGTACATACTCCGATTTTACCTCACTTGTCGTATTGTATAACATGCTGGTCGCAAGCAGATGCAACTACACTTAAACCAGTGCACTCCCTGCATAAACAAATCATGAAAGTGTTAGATAAAAAACCAAAGGACTTCCATCATTGTACGATTTTGCAAAAGTTGCAATTTTTAAATATGAATAATTTTGTGTTTTATACTGATGTGTGCCTGATGTACAAAATTATACATAATCTTGCCCCACCCCCTCTTCAGGGATGTGTGACCCATAATGGAAATGCAGGTAGGACTAGAGCATCTGCCAGGGGAGATTTGGTACCACAGTACAGAAAAACAGCCTTTGGGCAAAAAGCTTTCTCAGTTAGAGTAGTGGGGTTGTGGAATTCCCTACCTACAAACATTCGCAGCCTGAATAGCTACTCAATCTTTAAAAATAAGCTCAAGCACTGGCTACTATCAAAACAAATTTGCAACCACTAATGACTGAACTGTACTTTATTTGTTTTATATTTTGGTTTTAAATTTTATAATCTACATATATGTACTGTGATGCTTCATGTGGTGTATATGTAATGTATGTTATTTTATTTGTCTTCCTGCCCAGGGACAGCAGATGTAGCTATTAGCTAATTCTGGTGCAATTACTTTTAATTGTGCATTGTCCCTGTAAAAATAAACAATAAAATGAATGAAAATGAAATGAATGAATGAACCGTTTGGTTCCCATTGAAAAAAACATTTCTTTTCCTTTTTCCTTTTCCTTTCCTTTCATTTTTCCTTTCCTTTTCCCTTTCCTTTCCTTTTCCCTTTTCATTTTCCTTTCCTTTCCTTTCCTTTCCTTTTCTTTTCATTTTTCCTTTCTTTTCATTTCCTTTCCTTGTCTTTTTCCTTTCCTTCGTTGTTCCGTGCCTTATGTACATTCTAGAGTAAAAAAACAACACAAAAACGTATTCACACACACACACACACACACACACACATATATATATATATATATATATATATATATATATATATAGTATATATCACACACACACACACATGGGATTGTAGTTCTTCCCCTCACTAAAGCCGGTTCACAATCTTGTACCTTTGTATTTTTGTCAGATTTTCAAAAGCTTTTGCTTCAAATCAAAGTTTGTAATGTTATGATTGTCCTCACAGCTGATTGGCTCGCTTCATGGCTTATAACAAAGATCTTTCTGAAACCCCTATGGGAGAAATGAGTGGAAAAAATGCTTTCAGAACCAACGTCTCAGAAAAAAAACAACATTTAGAACAATGTTTTTGACAACAGATGCTTTAATAAATTAAATACAGGAAAAATAAAAAGTCTTTTGTTTTGATTTAGAATATTTGGTTGAAGACAAATTAAAAGAATGTTTTCAGATGCTCACTTTGATGGATCTGAATGATTTAGCATTATCCATGGCACTCCAGGGCTCTTCAAAGGATACCAGGGTACTTTTTGGAAAGTTTTGATAACATCTGTTAAAATCTGCTTTTACATTTCTCCGTGGACACGCAGAGAGTCAGCTCTGTGTCAGTTGTATTCAATCGCTCATGAAGTTAAAGGCACACGAGATCACTGAGATGTCCCCGGGATGCAGGAGACTGTGGTGTGGCGCTCGCCCGCACTGTGGCATGCTGGGACACGACACTGTCTCTGTGTGTCTGTGTGTGTGTGTGATCAGGGCCGCTGTCTCACTGTGTGGCCCTGTTTCAGTACAACATCAGTTAAGTAGATGAACAGGAATGGCTTGTTGACAAAGCTGTGGTCGAGATGAAAAGGAGGAGTTGAGAGAGACCTCAGTCGCACACATTTCAAGATTTGTTTTTGTATGGTATAATCAACACTGCTAATTAACATGCAGAATGACTGCAATTAGCAAGATCCAACTCATTCGTCTGGGATTTTAAACATGTCATCACTGTTTAACATTTATCTCTTTGCGTGGGAGGGTGAGAATGTAATGTAAATCACAGTGCGTTCTTCCTGTCTCTTTAGGGATCCTGAAACGTTTCTCCTGGACTGGAAAAAGGTGCGAGCCACTGACGGAGGCTGGCTGGTGTTCGACATCACGGCCACCAGCAATCACTGGCTCCTGAACCCTCAGCAGAACATGGGCCTTCAGCTGTGTGTGGAGACCACTGACGGTATAGGACGCACACACTCCTCACCTTACAGCTTCACACACCATACTGTAAAATCAAGTCCAGGACTTTCAAGCACTGCTTTTTGTAGTTCTTCACAATCGTCAAACTTCAAATCAAAGTTTGTAATGTTATGATTGTCCTCACAGCTGATTGGCTCATAACAAAGACCTTTCTGAAACCCCTGTGGGAGAAATAAGTGGAAAAAATACTTTCGGATCTAACTAACGTCGCTTAAAAACTACAATCAGAGATCTCATTTATCAAACACTATCTTTATTTATTATCTTTTATGGAAGTTTTTTACTGACATAATTCAAATGGAATTTAAAATACTTTAAAAATCAAATTATAAATCAATGTCTGCTCAAATGATAAATCAAATGCTCGAATGCAATTTTATTTCCTCGTTCGTGGAAGCATCAATCAAGTTAAAAAACTCAATTTCTCAATCTGATTTGATTTTTAATTTTCACTCTCAACCCAGTATAAATCTGTCATAATTAAAGTCAATGCTCAAAGTATAAATCAAATGCTCAAACCAACATCAAAAATGGCAAATCAAAGGCTCAATGAATAAAAATGAGTTTTAACTTGATTTTTGATGGAGCTCATGCTTCCACGAAAAATACTTTAAATTCTAAAATAGATAAATAAAAAAAATCTAATAAAACAAAATGGTGCAGCACATGCAATGACAATGACATTATGACAAAGATATCGCTTTCCTTATTCAATCTGATTTATTTCTCCCATGAATATTGAAGAATAAAAGCTGTATCATATACTTGGATATTTATAAGTGTAATATCACGCATATGAAATGCCTCTATATCAGACGGATTGCGGCTTTATTTGTTTTGTTTTTTATCAATAAAATTCAAAATAAATTTCCCATATATTATCTTTCAATAATTCAAGCACTTCTTCATAAAAACGACCGTTTTTCAAAATGGTATTTCAAAAAGTCAAATTCCAATACTTTAAGCATCTTTACAAATCTGTAGAAATGCTCATGAAATTGTCACATGGTCAATGCAAAACAAATTAAAATAATCCCAATTTGTTAACTAGTGCTTTATACAATACATTGTTTCAAAGCTGCTTCACAGTAATCAATGCTGCAAGCTTCATCAAATATGAGACTTATTTACTTTGTTATTACCTCATTATTCATCTCGAGTCAATTCAGTGTCGATGTTGCCAAAAATTGGTCAAATATGAAAAAAAAAATCGCGATTAATCGCATCCAAAAATAAAAGTTTGTGTTTACATAATACATGTGGGTGCACTGTGTATAATTATTTTATATATATGAATACACACACACATGCTTGTATATATTTAAGAAATATTTTCATGCATATACTGCATATAGATTTATATATAAATTATAAATAATTTGATATATAAATAATATTTTTTTCTTAAATATACATGCATGTGTGTGTGTGTGTATTTATATATATATATACAAAATAATTATACACAGTGCACCCACATATATTATGTAAACACAAACTTGTATTTTGCATGCGATTAATCACGATTAATCGTTTGACAGCCCTATTAAAAATTATGCGTCAATGCTTTTGGATTCACTCGCAAATGTTCTGAGTGCGGTAAACTACGGAGACACTTTATTTTAAGGTACTTTGTAGAGTTACAGTTAGGGTTAGTTACTGGTAATTATCCATCATTTCCTATTATTACATGTAGAAACTTAGTAAATACATCATTTTAAATAAAGTGTTACTGGTAATACAGATACAGAAACATAGTTTGTGACTTGAATGGATCACGATATTGGCCATAATAAGAAAGCTCCGTCCTTCCACATATAAACTTCACTACACGTCCTTTAGTTGTCAATAGAATTAAAATGCCTTTTATGAAGAGAGACCTGCAACCGAATCAAACATCTGGAAATAAAGCAAAACCATGAAGATCAAAAGGCCATCAGAGGACATAATCTGACATGAATTAAATCTCATTTAACCGTTGTAATTAATCATTAACTACAGCTCTATATTGTTGAAGCAGAGTGGTTCGAATGACAGATGTGCAATAAAGCTACAGCGATGAGTTATACTGCGGTGGTTAAACACACACTGTGAATGTGGGATGTGTTTTGCATCTAGTGGTACTTTACAATGGATGTCTGCCAGGTTAATGCTGTTCCTCATTTGTTGAATAATAACCATCACTGGTCACTTTAATAGCGCTGTCATCTCTATGTGTTCTCTCCTGCAGACGGCCTTTTGTTGTTTTCAATTATTGTTGCATTCCCTTTTTACTGGAAATAAGGACCATGAAATGCAGATGGTTTAACTTTCATTCACAGAGTCATTAGCAGAGTCTTAACAGACAGGTTTACCAACGTGAGACTCCACAGAAGGATCATCTTTGAGTCACGACTACACCCAGTTTTTCCTCTTTCTTAAATGGGAACCTGATGCCACAAAGTCACAGCTTTTTAGGATCAGTTTCACTCAGTTTGACGTTCAGACAATCACTACAGCATCTGTGCGCACCATAGAAGATGTCATACATGGTTGTGGTGATTTAGCCACCCAGGACGAGGTTTTCGTGTCTTGATCATGGCTGTTTGTCTAACGTTGATCGCATGCATCTGTTGGATTATCAGGTAGAAGCATCAACATGAAATCAGCCGGCATCATCGGGAGGAACGGACCTCAGTCCAAACAGCCGTTCCTGGTCGCGTTCTTCAAAGCCAGCGAGGTTCTGCTTCGGTCTGTGAGAGCGGCGGGAGGAAAGCGGAAGAGTCACAACCGAAACAAAAGCAAAGCACAACCGAAATCTTCACCAGCTCTTAAAAGTGGAGGTACAGTTTTACAAACTTCAAGACATTCACACTCTAGAAAATAATGGGTTGTTCAGGGGTGCGTTTCCCGTACAACGACGTAGTTCGCTGATTCACTACCATAGTACGATGCATCGTTGGAAAAATCAACTAGCTAGTCACGACTGTTTCCCGAAACCCACTGTCGCAAAGTATCGTTCAACCACGTTGGTTTCGCGCGTGGTGGAGTAATAACTACTTCTAATGAAACTTTTTGAGATCCAATTAACGCTAGATTTGTTGTTATGTCATCTGAGGACTATTTCTAATCGTTCTCAGTTGTTCTGCTTTATTACCCGACTCAATATTTGGCTCGTTCTTATATATGGAGCGCGTTCGCACATGCACACTTTTCAAACACGTTACTTCGAATATTTTGACAAACTAAAAGACGTAAATTCTATTTGTAAGTATGCTGAATAAAAGACACCGGTTGTACTGAATGTCAGTTTGCTTATTTTGCTCAAGATAAGGATTTAATACCTCCAAATGTGTTGCAATATAGAAACGATGCCTCTAACCACAGGTCTGTCGTTCAAACCACACATCTCTGCGATGCTGTTTGCGAATGTTCGTTGGAACGATGGTTTCGGGAAACACCGAATCGTTGAACTATGCTGATAACGACGGAACTTGCGACCATAGTTGGCTAACGATGCTTTCGGGAAACGCACCCCAGAGCGATGAAGGAGATGACGTTTGCAGAGCGGCGGCCGGCGGAGAAACAGAGAAACATTTCCAAGTGTTGTTCTTTGCTCGGTTTTTAACAAAAAGAAAACGTTCAAATCGCTTAAAAACAGACGCGATAGCTGATTCGAGCGACTGATGTTCGACGGCGGCGTCCATCTTTGTAATGTAGGCTACAAAATCTGCTTCAAAATCCCAGTGCTGCCGTCATCGTGTAAAGCCCGCCCCAACGTTTCTGATTGGTGCCGCGATTTCTGCGGACTGGAAATCGGCTTGAATGAGCTCTTTGCCAGACTTAAGGCCCTTTCACACTGAACGCGTGACGAAAAAGCGAATAGTTTGCGTCAGAATAGTTCGCGTCAAAACCATTCACATCAGCCGCGACGCGAATTTGTGACGTTCAGAGCTTCAACATTCGCGCCGAGGGTGAACATCTGGCTATTGCTCTGTTGCAGGAAAGCAGACCTGATTTTAACGGACACTATCCACAAGTTTCCTACGCCCCATGAGGCCTTGCGTCAAAAGTGGGCGCGACTTCCGGTTGGAAGTAAACAAAGCGCAACTTGACATACTTCACACTCGTTCATTCAACAGTTGACAGTCATTCAAGTTATAGCGATCCAAACTAGATAACGATGTGGGAACACAACCTCAACGAAATGAAAAAGGGTGAAATAACAGTACCTTTACCCTCCGCAGTAGTTGATTGGGAGTATTATAATAACATTATTAATAATCAATACTCATCAAGGCATGGTGACAGACAGTTGTGCGAGCTGACAAACAATTAAAATAAAAAATACACACTTAGTCATTGTGCTTTGGAGTTTATTCAAAATTATAAATGAATGTGCTGCTTGAATACATTAACTGGCACATTTGGTATTCTGTCAACACAGGCTTTGATCCTGAGTTTAGGTGTAACATCAGTAGCGAACAGCCAATCACATGCTGATAGAGTTTAGAGAATATTAAGAATTTAAACAAATGTACACAGGAAGATTCGTCGTCTTTTGGGAGGTGATGGAAACTACAGTCGTTGGCAGGATCAGAAGACGGGCTCTGGCAGGATCACTCTGATTTCGTTTTCAGCTTATGTTCAAAACAATCCCGTTTAAGCCACTAAATTAGTTTAGTCCGGTTATACATACAACCGTGAACAGCACATGTTGTCCCTGAGCTCCGCAACGACATCTCTCATAAAGATTTGCGTCTTTAAATAGTAAAATAATTCTCCGAAAAACAGCTAGCCTCTTCGCTAACTAACACACAAAACACCATTGGAATGCTACTTCTGCCGCCTCACCGGAAGTTTCACCCACTTTATTTTTTACAGGAGCGCCCCTCGGAAACTTGTGGATAGGGAGAAAACGTACTATATACTTATTATTATAGCCTACTAGGTGAATAAATATAGATTTTATATTAGATGTCTTTTTGCAGTGATGTACCGGATTCGATCAGTGCATCTTGAATTGATATTGTTTGTCTGATCTGGCAGCTTCGATAGGGCCTTCTCATAAATTATGGACATATGTCAGTAACTACTGGCAGGTGTAGCTCACTTTCACCAGTTCACTTTTTTTAGAAGAGGTCCACAGTGTTCATCAAAGCAAACACCATGTCCGTGAAGCGCATTTTCTATGTTTTCTTATTACATTTTTTTATTGTAGAATTGTAATTTAAAGGACGATTAAATAAAAGGATGAAGACAAAAATTAAATGCGGGAAAATACTATGACTTGCGGGTCGTATAGCTTCTTCATCACCATCATTATCATCCAGTGAAGACAAGCTTTTCATTTTTATTTAAAAGCAGAAACGAAGGTTTGGGGCACCCACAGAGCTACCGGAGCTAGAAACATAATGGCAGAAGGTGAGCCGTCCCATTCATCAGGGGCTACGTTTACATGCAATCAAATAAACACTTTCAGTAAACGGATTGAAGGCTCTAATGGACTGAAAAGCCTTGTAAACACCCGGTTGGGCTCGATACGAACGAACGAGCACAACGTCCCACCAGTCCTTGTTTCAGATTTTCATTCACAGACGACTCGACACACAAGCAATCAGAAGATCCGTCATTGCTGCGGTCACGTCACTTTTGTTTCCTTGTATATGATTGGCTGAAGCCTTTTCTTTCGCCTCAAAAGTAAAAAAAAAAATCGGCATCGAAGCGAAAAAATAAAAGTCGTTTTTTCAACGCAGCACATTCACGTTGAGTGTGGAAGCACTCATTATACAAACAGCTGATCAAAAAATAAAACCATCGCGCGAATTATTCGTGCTTCAAAATCGCGTCCAGTGTGAAAGGACCGTAACTTTCAGAGCAAATCTAAATTTGCCGGAAGTTGTCTGGGTTTTCCCAGGCTAAAACTGAAGGGCAGAAAATATGGCATCGCCAAAACATTCATCGATAAATAATACGCATACAATTTAAAAACATACAATTCTAGTAATAATAACACAATTACAAGTAAGTTGCACTATGATCTGAAAGACAATTAAAAAGTGCTCAACAATATAACACGTCACTAGAATGCAAGTTGTTAAATTATTGCATGTTTTGGCTCATCTTTAGCCTTATTTTTCAGAGGCAACACATTGTCCAAAAGTGGGACACTTTCTATTGTTAGTTGGTAGTGTGTTCCCGATATCGGTGAAAACTCAACGATTAAAGCTTGTGGCTCTATATTGCACTCCAGCAATATCAGCCCACTGTCATTTAGTTTGCCATTTACAGAGCCAAGGCCTTAGGCTTCAGAGATTCGAGTGATATTTTCTGCAAACTATTCTATGAAAAGAAAATCACCTACTGCACCTTTAATAAGCAGCAGTTGTCAACATTTCCGTCCTTCATAGATGAGTGCATGTTGAGCTTACCTGATGTTTTCCGAATGTAGGGCTCTTTAATGCCATCAAATCACTGAGTATTTACTGCATTTACAGTCTATATACAAAGACGTTCTGCCAGCTGCAAACGTAGAGCACATTGAGCCCACACACACTCCTAGACTAAACAACACGACGACTTCAGTGTTTGTAGGCTCAACGTCTGTTTTGTTGCTGTTATCTAGATCTGAACACCAGTGAACAGAGGCAAGCCTGCAAGAAGCATGAACTTTACGTGAGCTTCCGCGACTTAGGATGGCAGGTAAGCGCATGTGGCGACTCGCATGTGGTTTCTCCAAGCCTCCGGAAAACACACATCACTGTCTCCGTCTCGTTTCAGGACTGGATTATCGCTCCGGAGGGATACGCAGCCTTTTATTGTGATGGAGAATGTTCATTTCCACTGAACGCACACATGAACGCGACAAACCATGCGATTGTGCAGACCTTGGTAAGTGTCCGTTTTTGCATTATTTAACTCTTTCAGCCAGCGCCAACATTTTTAGACATTTTCACAAAAGTTTTATGGCCCCCAGAATATGTTGTTGGAATATCTGAACATGCAATGTGTCAAAAGAAAGAACAGATCCCCTGATTAAAAAAAACAGAAGCTTTTTAATCAACACTTAGAAGTGGGGAATTTTGAGTAAAAAGCTGAGAAAATCGTGTTTTTGTCTGAATCGGATTCAGAATGATGATCAAAACACAGATCGAGTCCATCAACACACCAAAGCTTCACAGTCCTAAAGCTCGTCCTGGATTTAAACATTAAACTTTACATATACATCTGTTTACGTATGCTATCTTCTTCTCCTGTGTTTTGATCAGAAGATTCTGCACTCTTTCAGTAGATGTGTAATAGCGCCCCCTACCGTATAACAGTGAAAAAACAGAAATGACGAGGAAGGAGTTAATATTTCTAGAATTTTTTTATTTTTTATTTTTTTTAATTGAAACGTTTTCAAAGAAAACAATCACAATATAGAACAAATAAACAGAAAACAAAACAAAAAAAGACTACAAGAGAGGGGTATATAACTAATCAGAAAAAAAATACATATCAAAGGAAAAGATTAAAAGACTTGCATATTTCAACAGTTTTTAAAGCCTTCTTGTGACAAGAGTCAAAGATAGTCCCAAAGTAGTGTTGTATTTCAATAGGTAAAACATTGAAAAGTGGTATCTGACCTGAAAATTTACATTTATGAATATAACATTTTGTCAACAAAAAAAGAAGATTAAGAAGAAATATTTTGTTTTTGTGTAATTCTTTTTTTTCCCCCCGTTAACAAATCCAAACAAAACATTTTCCCAACGTAAAGAAAATTCCTTATCAATGTTGTCAATAACATATCGGGAAAAGTCTTTCCACTTCTAGAATTGTTTGTAGTAGTGGTTCAACAAATTAGTCACAGTTTTGTGCAAATAAGGCTTAAAAGTGACGATTTACAATAAGGTCCCACTAAATAATGTTGCTTAATACATGAACTAACTGTCACGGCGCAGACACGGAGTAAGAACATCTTCTAAATTGCAGAAAATTTAGTTTATTTACAAAAAAAAAAGGCACTCCAGAAGGCAAAAATCAGAGTAACAGGTTCACACGTGTGAAGACGACGATGCAGGACCAAGAGAAGAACCAAACTGAGGACTTTAAATACATGCATAAATGAGGAACCAAACAAGACTCAGGTTAACATAATCAATTAACCAATGAGTAACCATAGAAACCAGCATTAGGAACAAAGGGAATGGGATCTAAACACAAGATCCAATCCGCGTTATCCAATCAGGAGCCTAGCTGCTTGCTCACGTGGTGAAGGATCTGGATGCTTCAATTAATTATTTTGTAATATGACTAAATGCACAACAAAGCAAATATTTTATCACTTAAAACTTTATTACAATATACGAGACATGTTCATTTTGCATTGAATGTTATTTATTCCATATCTAGATTATATGAAATATTATTTTGATGTAAAGACAACCAACATACATGTGCATAAGTTCGTGTCTGGACGTGAGAGAGAAAAAAAATCACAGGACAGGTTAATAACTTTTGTAGGCGGGCTCTATTTATCATCAAAACAAAAATAAATGACAGATTAGATGGATGAGGGCGAGGGTGATCCTCGATCCGATGCGGGACAACAGGTCATCAAACTGGCCGCGGGACAGGCGGAAGTACCGTCATCCAGCGCAGCTCCTGGAGCGAGCAAATGGTGAAACTCGCCAAACGGTTCGCCTCGGAAGGGTCCGGTGGACACAAATACGGCGAGGATGATCCCCACGCCACTCTCCAGAGCAAATACAGAGCGGTGACTCTCTCGATGAATGCGCAATAAATATAAAAAAGATGGCCGCCAACGGGTTTCGATTCTGACGCGCGTAAATTTCGCTTTAAACTTTTGTTTTTACACGCGTCAGTTTCGCTCTTGACGCACGAATTAACACAAAGTGATCAAGCGTCAAACTAGACTCGGTAGATGCGAATTTGACGCGCTATTCGCGTTGGTGTGAACGCACAGTCAGGATATTCTTGTTTACTTGCTGTATGATAAACAATTTTTTGTCCAGTTTTCATCCGACATATTATAGATCTCTTTCATTTTTCCTTCACAGGTCCATCTAATGTTTCCTGATAATGTGCCAAAGCCTTGCTGTGCACCAACCAAACTCAATGCCATATCAGTGCTGTATTTTGACGACAGCTCAAACGTAATTCTGAAAAAGTACAGGAACATGGTGGTGAGGTCCTGCGGATGTCATTGAGGCCAGAGGAGCGTCGTGTGTCATATTGCTGGAATAAATAACATATCAAGAGAAATAGTTTTTGCCATTTGATGTACAGTATTATGTATATATTAGCTCACAATTCCTCTTATTTATTTGGCTTTGTTTTGTAATAACTTTTTAAATGTGTGATGTAGATCAGTTAAAAGTTACCACTCTTACCGTAGATCCGTGGCTGATTGGTCTTTCTCTGCGAATATGTTAATGAGTTAGACCAGTTAGAGAGAGTCATAGACTAGAGGATCAATTATGTCATAAATTCATAAGCAACCACTCCAAAACAGAACTGCTGCTATTTTATAAAAGAAATCGAAAGGCCTGAAACACTAATCACGTTTTTACTGTTTTTTTTTCTTTTGATGTGGAAAAAAGAGAACAGCCATATTGATTTAGCAAAAATAAATCAATAAACAATAATTCTTTGTTAATAAAATGAGTGTAGTGTTGTATGTCTAAAATAGCCCAGAGTATTGCAGCCCACGACTGCTGGTTTATATGAGTTTGCTTTAGATATCAATGCGCGAATATGCAAAATTAAGGTTTTCTGAGCAAATATTCTTCCTCCTTATATACACTTGTATTAGTACTCTGAGTAATATATATTTTTTTTGTGGGAAAATAATTGCATAATTATTGTAGAACCATGTTTGTATGTCATTAAATCTATTTTTAAATCTATTTTCGGTGTCTTTCTCTACCACAGGTGATCAATCATGTTTGTTGCAGGATTTACATGAATTTGCTGAAAAAAATAAAAATAAAATAAACAATTAATTATTTTTTTTGCTCCATTATTGCATTTGGGATCACCGAGTAAACAAATAAAAAAAATGTAAAGTTAATTCTGACTTTTTATCTCACAATTCTGACTTTTCCCCTCGCAATTGCGAGTTTATTCTATTCTAACATTGAGAATTAGCTTCGGCTAAAATGTTGTAGTAGGAACATGAGCTTATGTAACATACTTGTCCCTATTCAAATAAACTTAAAATAAATACAATAAAATTATATCTGTATCTTTATACCATATCTCACAAAAAAAGTAAAAAGTCAGAATTGTGAGCAAAATTCATACGAATTCGTACACTGTAAAAAACAACCGTGATTTTAACGGTAAAATGCTACAGTGCAAAACTGTTAATTGGTAAACAGAAAGTTTCCGTACTATACACGGTAAATTACTGTGATATAATTTTACAGTAAAATACCGTTAAATTTACAGTTTTTGAAAGTGAAAAAGAACAAAACATTGTATAATTTACAGTGAAAAACCGTAAAATTGGCATTCCCACAATTCCCTGTGTGACACTTCACATTTTATGTATTTTTGTTGAAATAACTATGGTTCCTCATAGTTTTATTGTTTTTTTTCTAATCAGTTATGTACATTAGGGTTATATGTTACATTTAATGTTGTTAAATTAATGTTTATTGAATTTTTTCTAATTTAATGTGTGTGTGAATGACATTGTGCAGCTTCTTTAATTAAGTATTGCTCTATACAAGTATTCACTTGTGATGAGCTGTGATTGCTCATGTACCTCTCATCACTGCTGTGATGATTGTTGGTAGTCAGTGTATTACAATGGTCTAAAACAGGTATCAATACATCAATAAGTCGGTAAATCCACATTTGATCAGAAAATAAAATACGGTTTATTACCGTAAATTTTAAGTTAAGTCTGTAAAACCATTAACGTTCCTACCGTATTTTTAACGGTAAAGTTCTGGCAACCACAGCTGTCGGTTTTTTACCGTAAAATTTACGGCTTATTTTTTACAGTGACAAGTGATTAAAAAGTGGCTAATTCATACGACCTCACTCGAACGAATTTGTAAGATTTGTCTAAATCCACGTGATGGGTTGGTTTATGGGGCGGGGTCAGGGGTAGGTCATTCGTACGAATTCATACGAGTTGGCCAACTCGTAAAATATGTCCGATTTAGCAAAAATCGTACTAATTCGTACGAGTGAGGTCGAATTAGCCACCTCGTAAAATTCGTACGAATTCCCGTTTTATCCAACCCGATCAAACCCGATCACACTAAATGCGTCGCATAGCACGCATGTGTATTGTCGTGTAACTTATACGCTAAAGTGAGTTTTTACGTGCATATGATACGCATTGGTTGGTTAGGGTAGGTTTAGGTGTGGGGTGTGTGTGTATTATACGTTTGGGTAGAATTAGTGGTGTATTACACGCAAATAAATGAACTGCGTATCAAATGCACGCGTAAAACTGCATCTCATGCACGTAAAAACTAATTTTCGCGTATAAATTAGAAGACAATACACGATGCGTGTTATAGAGACGCATTCACGTGAGAACAGGCTGAAGGTGCAGTTGCCTTTTGTATTTTGTATTCTGTGGCAAAAATGTGTTTGAAAAACATTAGCAAACAAATTGCTTCATTTAGACAGACCTTTGCATGGAAATCTACGCTGACCTTATCTGATCACGAAGGTTTTTTGAAGTACATTTTTTGCTGAATGCCAGAAACGGAATGACTGTGCTGGACTTAATTGAAACCAGTGCTCCGCGTGCGCAGACGTTATGTGGTCCCGATCTAAGAAGAGTGTTGACGTCCCATGAATAGCGGAGGCCACCTGCTAACCTCACTGCTAGCGGTGTGGATGATCTGCATTCCTGCGGCACGGTTACTCCCGCGGCTTCACAATCCCATCTACTGTTTAATATCATGGATTCCGTCCAATTCCACTAAATGTCTTCCTTTCCACAACAGCAGGCCCAGTATGAACGCTGCTATTTTAGGGAGTCCTGTGCCGGTGAGCAGGCTCTCTCAGTATAAGCCCCGTGGCCACATGAAAGGGGACAGAGATGAATTTACTGTCCGTGCAGAGAGCAGCACACGTGCACACAATTGATCAGACTGGGTTTGCACACTGATCTTCACGCTCGACATAAATAACAACGTTTAGATGATTAATATTGTATACTTTCAGTAACCTAGCACTGATTGTTTCCTCTATTGGAGTGGATTAACCAGATGTACGAACGTTCGCTAGCCTGCATCCTTTGACCCTCCTCCTCCCCAGCACCACCTGTAGATCTGCACTGGGGTTTAATATCAGATTTTTGGGGTTAAATATAGAGTGGTCATGTTTGAAACACATTAATCCAGTTGTTGTGTAATCCAGACTGTGTTACGTAATCATGTCGGGTCATGTAAACATGTCAATGAATATCAATAATTAGTGGAACACATAAAATAAAATATTCGGTCTCATTATTTCTATAAAAAATGCCCTGGCTGTATGATTTTTCACAGCTGCCTGTGCCTCGGGTCGTAGCTCGCATAATTACTTTCATTTGGACATGCACAGATTTCTATAAACAATGGATATTGTGGTAACAATTGACATGAAGTTACAGTGAACAATACTTCTACAGTATTTATTAATCTTATTAATATTAACATTTACTAAAGTTGTTTAAAAATTAATTCACTGTGAACTAGCATAATATTTTTTTACTAACATTAACAAAGATTTATAAATGCTTTTCGAGGTAAAACGATATAAATACTGTTGGTTTTCTCACACAAACCGCTCGTTTCGTGTCTTAGGCCATCAATGTGTACTTTCATTTACGAGTCATTAAATCATGTTTAATCTGGACTTCTCTGTGCATGCTCTTTGAGGTGGTGACCATAGACCTCCATTATATGACTGACAGACAACAACGGTTTTACCTAAAAATATCAAAATTGAAAATACTGTGGAAACAAAGACACCTACATCTTGGATGCCCTTGAGGTCAGATAAAACATATCAAAAATTAATTTCAAAGTGAACTATTCCTTTAAGCAGGACTTCTATTAGTAGAATATATCTAAAGCGGACAATCCAAATCAAGTGTTACCAAATATATTGCTCATTTTTAATTCATTTTAGCTAATGCATTACCTGTTAACAAACGAGTCCCTGAAGTGTTAGCAGAAAATCAGCTGTTTATTTAAATCTGTGAATGTCCAAATGAAAGTAATTATGAGTGCGGAGACTCGAGGCACAGACAGCTGTGAAAAATCATTTTTAGAGCCATTTTTTAAAACACTTTCCGGTAACACTTTACAATACGGGTGCACTAATATGCATTAATTCCTGCTTAGCTAATGCACAGATAATCATAAGTTAATGTATAACTCATGAAGAACTAAACCATTAATTAATGATTACTGCATCAGCAACTAATAAAGAGTCTATATGATTAATAGATTAAGTAATACATGAATTGCTATTAATTCAATGTGTCATTGTGTATTAATTCCTTAATAACATATTTTATTAACTAATAGAGTAAATTAATGTGTAAATTACCACAATTAGTCAAAACTATGCACTTCACCTTCCAGTTGTCTACTTTAATTAATCACTAGCTAATGATTTACAAAGGTATCATTATGTTATGACTTTACTTGATGGGGCACATCATTATTAACTAGTCATTTAGTAATTTGCACATGAATTTTCACTAACAATGAAGTGATTAATCATGTATTAATGCATATTAGTGTACCTGTCATATTATTTTGGAAGTTAAAATACAAGGCTTTTGCTCATTCTGGTAATTAACATATTAATTGACACTATTAGTTAAAAAAAATGAGTTATTATGGAATTAATCCACAATTACATATTTAATTAAAAACAATTCATATATGTACTAATATATTAAGCTTAAAGACTCTTAATTAGTTCCTAATGTGGTAATGATTAATGAATAGCTTAAACAGTTACACATTAATTCAGTATTATATGTGCATTAGTTAAGCATGAATTAATGCTTATTAGTGCACCCGTATTATAAAGTGTTACCCACTCCCCCCCCCCCCCAGATTAAAGGTTTAACCCGACTATGGAAGTTAATCGTAAAATGCTGTGCGTGTAAACACGCTTGATGAAATTGTTCAGGGATTGGATTTTATGTTTTTTGAACCCACACCGCACCACAAACCTTATACGCTTCGATTCTTACTCAAATAGCCACGCTGTTCCTGCTTTTGGAGTTCATTGTAGTAATGAACTTCATATGCGTGTTGTTTTGTGTGCGATTGTCACTCATATCTATGTTACACTGCAAAAAAAAACACGTTGGTATGCTTGAAATGAAACCACAGCCTACAGTGGACTACACGCGAAACACAGTTGTGTTGTTCCGTACACATTAAAATGATTAGGGATGTGTTTTATCTTGTTAGGTAAATATTTAGGACACTACACCCCAAGAGAACACAATCTCCACACGTGCAAATCTTTGTTTAAATGAATGGAAAACACATGATTCTTAACCCGTGTGACATTAGTAGAAGATGTGAAACACCTAAAGGCAGGGGAGAGTTTGTTTTGTGATTTTACACGTTAAAAAACCCACGACTTTTTTCTTGTTCTGTTTGTGGACAATTAATGAAAACAAACACACTGCTGACACAAATAAATAAAACGTCAATCACTATCGTAAAGTATCAACGTTGTCATATTTATTTGTGAAATTCTTCTCCCATTATCCTACGCTAGAACATTTTTTCTTTTCTCTGGCCTCATGGTTTATTTTGAAAGTGTCCGCTTGCAGTCGGCCCACAGCGCTGCCGAAACTCGATCTAATCAAAATGTTTTCCAGTTTACTTTCTTCATCTTTCCACATACCCTTTTTCTAATTTGGCGTCAGTGGGTGGGCTGGACCCTTATTACAGCTCAATCAGACGTCCCTGAGCAAGTCAAGCATCTGGGG